TGAGCTGTTTTTTTTTGTTTTTTGTTTGTTTGTTTTTTTTTTTTTTTTTCATTTTCCGACGCACCATATGCGCGCGTCTGAAAAGCAGAATGTTCGGGGGGACAATCGCACGCGAGAGACAATGAGACTATTTTGCGACGGTGGATGTAGAAACGGTAGGGGGTGGACGCGGAGAAAGGGTGTATCAACAGTTATATCCCTTGCTCTCTTTATCGCGCGCTGCAATCCAGAATTGCGAGACGCTGCGCCGCGTTGTAATTGAAGTGCATATCGAGTTGTGCAACGACTCGTCGCTTGCTCCCGCGCGGGAGATTCTTTTTAGTTGAGACGAAGCGGCAAATGAAAACGACGGAAGCCGAATGATAAAGGACTCGTTAGTATCGGTGGTGTGGTGTGCCGGGAGTAATAACAGCCATGTAACGCGGAACAAAGGAGAAATTTCGCATTCGCGGAAAAATGAACGACTGTTTAAAGCGCCGCTTGTAACTGCGCGAATTTTTCACGCGCGGAGTTTTAAATAAAGTTTCTTTCACAGTTTTTTTCTTTTTTCTTTTTTTTTTCTTTTTTTCAAATCAATCTGTAACACAAGTGTGAGAAAACAAAATCAAGAATTCTTGAATTTCAGAGAAATTAAAAAGAGAAAAATAACGGGAAAACGTTATTATTCTGTTACTCTATTAATCTCTCGGACTTTTTAAGAAGAAAGTTTGCGCGCGCGCGCGCGCGCGAGCAGGTATTTTAATTTCATGACTTTTTCTCTAAAAATTCTAAAGAATCGCGCGCGATGTCGAGAATGAAAGGATCTGTTCATTAACATTTTCTCTGTGGAAGAGAAAGAGCTCACTTTGCTCTTCTCGCTATTTGCGGATGTTACGGACTATCAGTAAGGTCCGTAACGTGAAACACACGTCACAAGTCGTTCCGCTGTATTTAAGAGCACGAGGATTTCTCTATATTTAACGGGATTTCTCTTTCTCTCTCTCTCTCTATCTCTATCTCTATCTTTTTCTCTCTCACGGAAATCCGTTATACGCGCATTACATTTTCGGTCAAACATGCGCTTGTGGCGGATGTTAAACTTGCTTCAGCCCGTGCACACAAAACCATCGAGCGCGCGCACTCGGCATTTACATCGCATCTGTCTACACGCGTACTTGTAACCCACTCTTCGCCAAATACACGTGCCCTACGCCGCCGCCCTCCACCCCCCACGGTTGCATACAATTCTAATAACACGAGCGAAAGCGCTCCATTATTGCGACGGGAAAAATATAAGCGCTAAGTGGGAAGGGAGGGGAGGAGAAAATGTTTTTCCGCCGACGGCGATAATTAACGTCCGCGCGCGATTTTCCTTCGGAATTACGCGGCGACGATACACACAAACACTTCTTCTTTTTTTTTCTTCTTCTCTCTCTTTTTTTCTCTTTTTTTTTTTATTATTAGACGAATGCATTCCCCGGTTCGAGCCGGCTGGGATTATATGAAAAGCAGGGATTAGATTCGCAGCCGGACTTTATAACGCGGCGGCGCGCTCTCGAACGTATATGCGAAGAGAAAACGGAAGAAGGGCGTCCGCGGCAAAATTCACTTAGCGTCGCGGGAAAAGCCAAATGAAAGTGGTTGTTTGCGGCGTGGTAAAAGCTGTGCCGGTCGCCGCCGCCGCCGCCGCCGCCGCGCGAAAGTTGCACGGGTGCTGCATCGTCCGCGCGTCGCGAACGCATTCACACAGACCGAAGTCCCCGCTCAAAACGAACACACATAGCGTCACTGAAAGGGGGGATTGTACCAATTCCTCCAATTTGAAGAGCCGTGTGTCGCGGAAAATTCGCGCGGCAGAACGTTCTGTAACAATTTTCACAGACCAGCTGTTTCGTGTCATTTTGTTTTTTTTTTTTTTTTTTTTTTTTTTTTTTTTTTGTTTTGTTTAGACAGAAAATACGAATTTCGCAATTTTTCTTATTTTTCTTACTTTTTCTGACAATCCGCATTTTTCAGTTCAAGTCGCGTGCAAAATTTGCTTCGTATTATTGTGCATGTAATAAAGGGAGCAATTAATATCGCATCCAGTACATTTACCAGAACAATACTATTTGCAATGAGCCGTTTTGCTTAAAGCTCTCTCTGTAAAAAAAGACAACGGGGGGAAAAAAACAGGAATAAATCCTCCGCAGCAACGATATGAGACTGGGGGGAGAGGATTGGTATGTCTTGTGTATCCAAGTGCAATCGATGCACGCGCGAAGAGAAACGTGTAAATAAATGGAGAATGCGAAAGCCGTGCCTGGAAAACACGTATCGACGTTTCAATCATTAATATTCTTGGGCGGGTTTATATTTTGCTTCTTTTCTTGTTTTCTTTTCTACGCGCGGCGATTGAATTGCGTTTTATTGGCGCGACGGTTCGAAAAGAAAACGCTCGAACGTAAGACGTGTAACGCGCGACGCGAGATACACAGTTCGATGTATCGAGCGGGGAGCGAGCGGAAAAAAGCTGCCAATTATGTATTCAAATGTGCACACCGCGTTTCGCTGCGTCGAAATCCGTAGAGAAAAACGGGGGGAAATAAAAATTCAATAAAAATTAAAAAAATCCGCGGAAATGCCGCACAGTCCGCGCGCGGCATCGATTTTTATTAATACATCAGCTGTCCTCAAAATTGATCGTCCGAAATTTCATCTCCGGACCGGCTTGATTACGGTTGCCATTATCGATAGCCGACCGCGACGGGCTCGCGCACTCTTTTGCCGGATTACATTTAAAATGGAGATCGCGCGCGATCCCGCAAGCTCGGTCGAATGCAATAAATAGCTCACCTATGTCGTTGCCTCGGAATGTCGCCCTCGGATATCGTTTATAAAATAAAGACGTAAAACATCAACATGAAGAGAGAGAGAGAGAGAGAGAGAGAGAGAGAAAGATAGGAAGGGAGAAAGGGAGAAAGTTTGCTTGGCACGTTGACCGAATATTGCAAAAGCAAGCAGAGGATAGTTTATTAGTTTTTGATTTACATACGTGAACTTGCTAAGCTAGTTCTTGTGTTTTCCGTTAAGGACAATATTTACTTGCTTTTACAATTTAACATATTACATTATCCGCTTCAACTTTGTAATTTGTTAAATTTTTTTTCTCTCGTAGTTCCGACGTTAACACACAGTACACAGTATAATTTTATGCGGACAGAGAGAGAGAGTGTGTGTGTGCGCGCGCGTGTATGTATTTAGAAAGGAGAAAATACAAGGAGATGAGGAAGTACGGAAACCAAATATCCGCGCGCGCATTAACTCATAATATGACTTTTACACTCGTTTCGATATTCGCGTTAATGCACTCTCCGTGTTCGATGAAATGAAGCTTGAAAATAAAAAAAAGCTGGACAAATCCAGCAAACACGGCGGCGGGTGGAGAGCACAAGTGTGTTAATTCCCACATACACACGCACACACACGCACGCGCGCGTGTGTGTGTGTTAATTTCGGAAGAAGCACTCCGCTAAACCGTAATATATTCGAACACATGACTGTGCGATTCTACTCGCGGCCGAGCGATAGCCGTGAGCGCCAATTATCGCTGCGATTTCGTCCGCGTCATAGCGGCCACCAATTACGGAAGCGCACACCAAATAGATTCGCGTGCATTCGGCTTTACGGTCGCGCGATAAAACGCGTAAATTCTCTGGACCGCGCGCGCAAGCGACGATGATCCGGTAAATTTGTCGTTGACGGCGTAAAACAAGGGGCGAAATTAATTGATCGTGCATTAATTATAACCAGATGCCACGGTCACTGTTCGAAGGGGCGCGAGCGACCGCTACCGAACGTATGGATCATTAAACATTTTCGGCCGATATTCGCACTCGGAAGGATATAACGGCGGTGGAAAATGTTCGATTGGGAAAATACGCGCGAAAAACCAAAATTATCGCACGGAAGTTAACCCTCGCGCGCGTTTTACAAAGACGTCAATTTTGGTTTTCGTCTTGAAGCAGCAAGATTTCGCGAGTCCGCTAAAAAATATTCTATTTGTTATGCTAAACATGATATTCACATTTCTCGTTGTGACCCAATTATTGATTCGAAATTATGCATTCGGAACGCATCTTCATCTAACTTTGCTATTTAAAGTATCATGATTAATTGATACAATTACATTTGATTAATGATCTTAATTACGTTATCTTTCTCTCTCCGAATATGGAAATTGTGCCGCTTCGCTATTATTGCGATCGATCCTACTATGTTGGCAACGGCCGATTATTGAATGAAATTGCGTGTGCGCGCCATTAAAAAAATAATTTTTCCATTTTTGTTTTTTTTTCTTTATCCTCTAAAACCCCCTTTGAAACGAAACAAAATTAAAAAACAAAAAAAAAAAAGAAAACATTTATCGAACTAGGTTTTGTCATATTTCAATAAATTTGTTTTTTTTTCTTTTTTATAGACAAGTATATTTCACCGTGAGCGAAAGATTCTCTCTTTATTCAAAGCCAAGTGAAAGGAATCCTCTATCTCTTTCAACCGTTTATCAGCAAAACAAGAAAATACGTCTCTCATATTTTTGTACATTCTACGGATATATGCCGATTTAAAGCGAAAAGAGAGAGAGAGAGCGAGAGATGCGTTCGCTTCCAGGATGCTCCCTTGTGACGCGCGGACGGGAAGATACAGTCTCGGGTGAAATATCGGGAATATATTCCCGAGAAGAGATTCTCTCCGGGCTTAAAATGCGCGCGCGTGTTCGAATGATCTCGCAAGAGAGCGAACGTCATTGTCGTCGGATTAAATCCCGCCATCCGGAAAAACCGCGAGAGAGTGAAATCACCGTGGCGCGAAAAATGTAGCCATTAATACGGAGCAGATTAACCGGGGGCCGCGTTTTCTCGCTCTTTCTCTCTCTCTCTCTCTCTCTCTCACTCTTGTCGCGGATGCGCGTGGTATATTCCGACCACGTTTTTCCGGTTATATGATCTTGGCTGACTCTCGACCCGACTTTGTCATTACAGTGACAATGACAGATGCGGAAGCGGTGGCAGGCGGAATTGCTCAGCTACCGTGCGACGTGAAACCGCCGCTCCCGGGGGACAGGCTGCACCTAGTTATTTGGTACAAGGAGGAGTCGGATGCGCCGATATACAGGTAAATTCTTCTCCCATCTCTTTCTTCTTTCTCACCTCTCGCGCGCTTCCTCTCTCTCTCTCCTTCCCTATCTACGTTGATCGCGCGACGCGGATGATGGCGGTGGGGTTCCATTCTCTTTCCGGGGAGAATGCAAAATGGGGAAAACCGCGCGCGTTGTGCTCGTTATTATTGCAGCGGTGCAGCGCTCGGCGCGAGTTATTCGCAGACGCGCTCGCGCGCGCTTGTATTTTGATATCTAACTTCCGGTCGAAATTAGCATAAAAATTTAAATTTTCCTATTTTAAGACCGTCAGTTTTAGTTATTCGCGCGAGAATCGAATTTACGACGTTAAATGGAACGATATTTTTAGTACCGACCGCGTTGTAATACAAAATGACTCCTTCTCTCTCCATTTCTTTTTTTTTTTTTTTTTTTTTNGTTATTTTCAATCGGTTCGACATTTTTGTTAACAAGGTCGAGTTCGAATTTCGCGCAATTAATAACGTTGCCAGTTTTGGTAATCTTCCGATATATTTATGCTTTACGGGTGCGCTTAACGTAATTTCGGGCCAACTCAGCTGGTATCTAACATAATAATTCTCCGGCACATATATTTAACATCGCAATGCGGCGCTTATGGTATGTGGAAAACGATAACGTCGTGTATGATACATATATGTACGAAAGACAAAGTGTAACGATATAGAATGTGAGGTGTGTTATATATATATATATATATATATTATATATGTGTATATATATATATGGTACATGTATATGATACATGTACGCGCCGGAGTTAATTGCGAAACAAAAATGTTTTATTCTTCACTTATCAGCGCGTGATATTAAGTGCAAATAACGTCACATAATGTAATTTGCATCTCAAACACATATATATATACACACACATACATTATTCTTGTATACAGAACGCGAAACGTATTTGTTTGTGTATCATAAATAACTAGATGCGGAATTGCTCGCAATCTGTTTCCGCTTTATACCTGACATTCGATATAGTTTATAAATATTTGTAAACATATCATTCAATTAAATATAAACATATATATATATATATATATTTTATATACAAGCAAAACATTTTGATCACCTAGCACGCTATGCAACAAACAGTTAGTCACTTTGAGAGCTACTAATGTAATGTACGCGAATAATGCGAAGAATTAATTCAATAACAAACGTATTCAGTAGTGTAAAATGTCAAAAAAATTGGAAGCAATATTCGCGACGAGAAAGAGAGAGAGAGAGAGAGAGAAAAGAGAGAGAAGATAATTGCGACAGTAATTGTCTCGGAATGGGATTTATTAATTTCTCAAGATAGATTCTTTCTTTCTTTCTGATTATGCGCGAGATACACTGAGAAAACGAATTCTTTCGTTTGTTGAACTTAATTCACGCAAATGGAAATGCCTCTCAAACGGACAGACAGGCATAATTTACATTCCGCGCCGCGAAAGTGACATATCACAACTGCACAAGGAAAATCGCCCGATGTTCTAGTTAGAACCGTCTCTCTCTCCCCGACGTTCATTAAATCAAATCGAATTGCGTCTAGGAGAAGTGTTAATTGGCCGGCCTTTAACGTTGATCATCAATCAAACGATCGATGCGAACAACTCCGGCAAACTGATTATTGTTAACGATATATGAGAGTCAAATTTGTGTATGTGTGTTTGCAGTTACTCTAATTAGATCTAATTACACTCTCGCGCGGCAAAAGACATTTCGAGCGACTGCGAATGTCATTTGCGATTTCTACCAAGGTTCAGGTACGCGTTTCGTCTAAAAAGTTCTTGTCTTGCATACGAGCAATTTTGCAATATGTTTTCACACTTTTGTAACAATATTTTGCGCTGAATTTATTATTTGAATTTCGACGTTTTATGCGATGTATATTGTAGGAGAAGAGAGAAAACAACACGTGATTAAAATCACGTGATTTTAAAAACATGACTTAAGTCACGTGACAGAGAAAAGTGGAAAAACAACGCATTTTTAAAGACACGTGACCTTACTTCAGAGTCACTACCCGTGCCTCTTGATTCCATTTTCTAATAACAAAAAATGAATTATTACGGCTACGCTATTGTTAGCCGGTTGTGTTTTGTGTGTGTTACATACAATATGTATATTTATATTAAAATTTACATTACTCGTCGATCTTTCGTTCAATCGAATAAAAATTTTTCGATGCGATTTATGTTGCACGCGCGCGCACATGCCCGTGTACTTCGATTACTTAATTGCTAAAATGTCGAGATGCAGTAATAAATGAATAGTAGGTACGATAAAACATAATATCACGATAAAAGAACGTGGAAACAAAATGTTTAATCGTGAATACGAAATTACTCTCTCTCTCTCTCTTTCTCGTCGCTTGTCCCATCGTTTGCGCAAGAATCGGTACCATTGCAAGAGATTGTTTTCGTTGAAATGAAAAAACTTTTCCGTTAAGTGTCTCTTACGAAACGGTAATTCGTTGAAGGGTTTTCCTACCGACGACTCGATATTAGTTCGTCCTCCCCTTCCCCTTCTTTCTCGAGTACGTCAAAGGGAAAAATTAACGTACGTTTCAGTTGTACTCGGCGGATTAATTAGTTCTCGCGGCTGTAATTTCGACTGCCATCGGAGGGAGTTTAAAGTGGCGCGTATTCCCTGGTAACGAAGCGTAATTACCCCGGAAAATTCGATCTACGTCGCGTCGTATCTCGGATGATCTCCTTCTAGCTTGTTTTTTTTGTTTTTTTTTGTTTTTTTTAAAGAGCTGATTTAATTGCGCGCACGCGCCGCGCAAACGGCACTATCATTTAAATTCGCGCACTGCGCGGAGCTTCTCTCTCTCTCCCTCGGGAAAGCAAGTCGCTTAACGCGTGTTTTGCGATGACTAGCATAATTAATTTGTAAATTACACAGCAACGGAATGCAATCAGCCCGTTGTGTGTTGGTGCTGCATCAACTTGGCTTATTACATTTGCCGACGGATTTACGCATCGCGTTTGAAGCCCGCGCGCCGGATGCGCGCAAGGAAAACGCGCTCGCGCTTACTCTCGCGTTTCCTCTTTCTCTCTCAACTCCGTCCTCGCGTGTGCTCTTCAGTTCGGTTATTAACTAAATGGCGGAGTAATAATCAGACATGCCGGATAACCGAAATTATCACTTTGTAACGCCAACGCTCGGGTCTTGTTGGTGGGTGTGTACGCGTTGCTCGTTAACAGAAGATACCGGCGGATCTCCGATCTGCGTTGGCGCGTGAAATCAAGAGATTATAACACACAGCGAAAGAGAGAGTTTGCGTTGCGTAATGTAATTAAATCGGCACTGATGCCGGATAACAAATTCCGCGGAGAGAAGAAGATGCGAACGTACATGTGTTCTCGACAAATGAACAAATAAATCCTGAATTCGAGATTGTTTAAATTGCACTTAAAAAATACACATCTAGCGATAGAGAGTGAGAGAACAGTCGAGAGAGAGAGAGAGAGAGAGAGAGAAGAAGGTTTAATCTTGCTCTTTTGAGGTGACTTTCCCCGGTCGTCGACGGGGAGAAGGGAAAAACCGGATTAAAATACACACACACACACACACACACGCTCGCTCCGTGCGCATCTCTTGTACTCCTCCTCTCCCTTTTTGAAGACGCGCGTCCCACGATTCTCTTATTCCGGGAGTTGATATCTCGCGGTTTATGCATAGAAACGAGGCAATGCCAGAAATCCCATCTTTTCCCCGCGCGCTCGCGAGAGAGAAGAGAAAAGAGATCGTGTGTGGCAACCTCCCAAAACCCTCGTGACACAGTTAGTTGTATGTCTGTTCCCGCGCTCTTTCTCTCTCGCTCGAAAACGCTCTCTTCTAGAACGGTCCATATAGCGAATTGGCTGTTGCCCTTTATTTCTCCGACGTCATCTCTTTCAACCACCTTTTCGCTCTCTTTCTCTTTCTTCTCCGCGCGTCGTCGTTTCTTCTCCCAACCTGATATATGAATTGTAGCGGCGGCGCGCACTCTCTCTTAAAGGTATGTCCCGGGGTGAAATTATGGATACGAATATTATTTCTTCTGGCGCGCACAAGAACCATCTCCTCCCCCTTCTCTGCGTCTATATCGCATTGAGCCGTCGGCACTCTATCGCGGTTTTATCAAGTTGAAAGTCTTCTGACCCGTGACGAAGTGCTCCGTCGCGCCGCGCGCAGCTGCTTTTGTTTTTTCCAAATAACCCATCACCAACCCGCATTCATAGCGCCAATTGATCCTGTCCTCGTCCTTTTCTTCTCTTAAAAGATAAATGCCTCAATGGTCGCGGGCATTTATTTTAAAGAAATAATTAATTAGGCACGTAAATATTAATCGTACAACGCGATTCTCAATATTTTAAGTAGTTTTTTAAGATACATTTTTTTCATTAGTAGTTTCTGACTTTGTACATGTAAGTGCACTTTTGTTATAATTCGTTTTTTAATGTAATAAAAAGATCTCGCCGAGACAATTCGCCTTATCATCTCGGATAACCGAAGATCGACGACACGTGTAAGTCGTAATTGACTGACGCGCGTGTCCCAAACTGTCGCACTTTTTTCACGTTTCATATATTGAAAATACGAATGTGCGACAAAACGCACACTCGTCTCCCCCCGAATTTAATCGCCCCCTCCCCCCGCAAGAATCCCGCGACGAGGATTCTGTTTCCGATGTCGAGTCGATCGCGATTGGATTTTCGTGTGTGTATCGAGTAATTATAGAAGATTACTGATAATAGTTCAGAAGCCGATCAAAGCGCGTCAGGCAACAACGACAAAGGAAACGCAAAAGCATGACGCGCGCGTACTGCTCTGCACGTGATACGCATTCCTCATACGTGTTCACGGAGCGCGAGTAATCCTTTGTACACTCGCGTGTGTGTTCGATATATATATATGCGATTACTCTATTCGTCGTTGCTGTGAAACGTCTGCGCGGCAGATAAACGCGTTTGTAAACGGCGCCCGCGGTGCGGAATAACAATCTTCCGTGATTAACCGTGTATTTGTTATATCCTGCTTGTCGAAATTGCGCATCATTCTTTATCATGGTACATAACCAATGCGTTTCACGACCGAGACCGGTAACGAATGAACGAAACGCCGCGATATAATAAATACGACGTCGCGGAGCGAACAATAAAATCGAGATTGTATTCGCGCTTTATGTTTTCAAAAGTTTTTATTCTCTTATTCCGCGTTTTCTTTATCGCGCCGCAAATTGATCCGGAAAATTCGATAAACGCCACTCTTCTCTTTCTCTCTTCGTTTGAATTGATAATAAATATAATTCCGCGGAAAAATCCGTGTGATAAAATCGAATTAATCAGTGTGCGCTTCGAGATGCGCGCGAGTCAAATTGAAGATACGAACAGATAATAAACGTTCATTGTCGGATATATACATCGTCGTGTCGTGTTTAATTGCGTGTCTCTTTTCGTTATTGTAATTTGCCGCCAAAGAACGTCTCGAGAAAATTGCAGAAAATCGTCAGTAAAACGCGCGTGCGCGTTCGCACGCTCAATCGCACGATGTAACTCACCTTGGTAAACCGGCGCGAGTCGTAAAAATACGAACATCCTTCGCGGACCGGTTTCAGAAAACTGCTTCGTCGTACATACGTGTGTATATATGTATATATATATATATCGCGCGAATTTCTCTCCCCCTCGAGATGCACCCGCGCCCGAGCAGGTGCAAGGCGAACGAGCGGCATTCGTCACACCTGCTATTACAGCCGAGCGAAAATCGATTCCCATATTGTCGACTTCAAGCTCGATCAATAACCATCGCTGTGTCATATATATTGGCTATTCTCCTGCAGAATGGAAACTGTATCCTTTCTCTCTCTCCCTCCCTTAATATTTTACAGAGTAAAAAGTATTCTTTTTGTCGTACGTGCATTTACTACAAAAAAATATTTTGTTTTTTTTGCTTGTTACAACAAAAATGTTAAAATATAACGTGCGAAAGTACTCGCAAAAATGTTCAAACAGCATTTAATTCGTTTCTCCGCAATGTGATTTCTATTTTTTTCCTTTCCGATTTGTCGCCGGGAGTATGGAAATCACAGAGCTCTCGCTCTCTCACGTATCGCACACGTTCGTGATACATACGTGAACGCGCGGCGGACGTGGTTCTCAAGGAAAATATGGTCGCCGATATGCAGACACAATGTCGGAGTGAGATCCGGCAGTTTAAAAGTTCCGCAGATAACACCGCGTATATATAACTGACGCCGTGGCACAATAACGCCTGACGGGATCTCGCAGAAACTGCGAGACACGTACAGGACACACGTGTGTCGCGTGTACGCGCGTTTAAGAAGATAAGGAAATTACAGCGGTTAATTAGTGTCTCGAGTACATGTCAAATTCGAAGAGCGAAGTGCGAATCTAATTTGGCGAAATAAAAGGAATGAAATTTGCGTGCGATTTATTTGAGACAACTTTGTTTCGAACAATTTCGAAATTGCACCGAGAACATTGCGACGATTTCGGAACTTGGGAATAAATCGCGCCATCGAATTTTTCTCGATAGCTCTACTCTCTAGATGAGTTTCTTTTTTTCTCTCTTTTTATCTCTCTTAATGTCTCTCTGAGTCTCTCCTCAAAGAAAATCAGTCGCTAAAATCCTTTCGATATTCAACATCCAATATCTTGACAATTACGTCTTGAATTAAAATTCTTCTCTGAAAGCAAATTCTCTCGCGCGCTTGAACTTAAGTAAACTTCATTCGCGCTACTCGCGCGAGCCTCGTTTCTTTTTAATCCCTTCCTCCCTTTCTCTTTTGCGATTCGCTTCCTTTGTTAAACTTCATCGTTGAAATTAAGATCCGGCGACATGTAACTTCATCGCGTGCGCGATGCATGCGACGAATAAAATGCGCATATAAACGAATATTCGAAGAAAAATTACGTCTCTCTTTTAATGTTAAACACAGCGGATCTCTTCTAAGTTCTCGTCGAAAATTTCACTCTGAAGCACAATAATGAGTTCTGAAAAGTTGCGGAGGAATTTCATTACGGCCCCCCGATCCGTCGCAAATTTCTTCGGAAAATTTCTTTGTAGCAACGACGCCGCATAAATTCAGTTAGCTTCGTTTCTGTTCGCCTTTCGCCGATAGAAATTCTGCGAGGGCAGCGGCGCTGGCGTAAAAAGGGCCGATATTAGAGGGCAAAGTGTTACGAGAATCCTGCGTGACTCTGTACTTTTCTTCGGTAACTGCGCCACGTCGGGGCATTTTTCTCGATTGACCGTCTCTCTCGTGAGAGTTTAATAAGGGCAATATAAAAGTTTCTTCTACCTATACGTCCGCCCGTCCGAGAAACACGACGACGCGCATTAGCGGGCATTGAAGTAAAAAAGACAAGTTCTTATTTACGGTATTCTTTTTTTCCAGTCTAACTTTTTCGCTCTTTGACGAAAATTCCTAAGCGCAAAGTATTTTCTAATTGCAGTTGTGTCGATCATTACGCGCTCTATTGTGTAAGTAACTTTTTTTTTCACAAGATATACTTAAAGGAGATGTACGAAAAATAAAATACAAAAGAGAAAAAATATTTACGTGCAATTTTTTTTTTTTTTTTTTTTGAAATTTAATTTAAATTTTTAATCTTCGTTTTTGTTGCAGTTTCGACACGAGAGGGAGCGACACTCTGGAGCAGGGAAACCATTGGCAGGCGAAATCTCTGGAAAGACGCGCGTTCTTTAAATATGGCGAGTTGCCCGCGAAGCTCGCCCTGGAACATGTTCGCGAAAACGACGCGGCTGTTTACAGATGCAGAGTCGACTTCAAGCAGTCGCCGACGCGCAACAGCAAAGTCAATCTAACGGTCATCAGTGAGTTCCTAAACGATATTCCGCATTGACCCGAATACAAGATGCGCTCGACAATAAGGCGAGCACGTACCTTCTCCAACTTTTTCCCGGGCCGCGTGTTCCTTTGAATACGTCGTTTTCTATTTTTCGAGAAAGTATCCGAGAGACCTGATAAAACCCGGTAATGAATTTTTAATAAGCAATCAAAACTATTTAGAATGCTCTTTTACAATGTGCGCAACGAACGTCATTTCGGACTTTCAAAGCGCGCGTTTCCGAAAGCGAGTTACAAAAAAAAAAATTGTACGATTTAATAAAACAAAACTTAATATAATTGTGCCGAAGAGCAACTGGGGACTACGACACGGAATAAAATAAATTTATGCAATTTTGCACGGTTCGTGTAATATCGAATTCGAATCTTTTTCGAAATGTAGGAAATTCACCGCGATAACTGAAAATTGAATTTCGCCGCGCGGACAATCGCCGTGCGATACGTCGAAATTGCATTGATCAATTCGATACCTTAATATAATCGACGTCGTTATCGTTAGAGATCGCTAGTATAACCCGGCTATTTGACTATCCGGTCCGCGCGCTCAAAAACAGTCGCATCGACTGCATTGAGTTTTTTTTTTTTTTTTTTTTTTTTTTTTCCTGTCTTTTTTCTCTTTTCTTGCATCGCGTTGGGGGGATAACGTTTCCTTTAATGGAGGAACGGAGCTACGTGACCATGGCCGATAATACCGAGCAGATAGACACCGGGGCTCTATATCCGCCATAATATCCGTCGCGCGTTCAACTTTATTTTTTATCTCAGAAATAACACCGCCTTAATGGTAAAAGCGGTACGTGACGGCGCAGGCTGATACATCGCCGTGTAAATTGATTCACCGCGGTCGGCACTTGTATGCGAATATCCGCCATTATCGCGCGAAAAATGTTTTTCCTAATATACGCTTGTACACTTGATCCAAAAAAATGGTAAGTTTATACCGCCGGTATCGTAGAAAAAAAAACCCGCCAGTGAGGCACGGTTTCATCTGTTAAAAGGTTTCTCCGACACCCACGTGAAACTATTGCGAATAATTGCGAGAGATCGAAGATGCTGATAACAATAATTACCAGTCGTTCTGTTGAACATTTCACGTGCGTGTCTCTAAGTACGCCTCGGCGTGTTTTCTCCGAAGTACGCGTTTGAAATTTCCTTTACGATTTAGTTTCTGAGGACTCGGACATTTTCCATTTCTTCGAAAGTTGTTTGCGCTTGTTATTGCGAATCTCTTCTTCATTTTTACGTGATATTATTAAACGAAGAGATCTTTAACGTCGTCGTAACAGTAGCCGAGAAGCGCGGCCATCTCCGGTGACACTGCGGCACTGATACCACTTGCAAAATGATCCCCGCAACTAGTTCGCCCGCCTTGTTCCTCAGAACGTATCTCGAATAACGGAACACACGGGGCTTCTTATTGTGAAAATCATTACAGTACCGCCGGAGCAGCTTAGCATATTGGACGGAGACGAGGGGCCTCATATTCCCGATTACAAACTCGGCCCGTACAGCGAGGGAGCGTCTCTCAATCTCACGTGTGTCGCCGCCGGTGGTAAGTGCATGGCGCTTCGGTGCACTCGCAGCCCGTAACGCTCAGACATCGTCGTCGTCTCGACTTTGCAGCGAGAGCTTGACACTTAGAGAGTTCCACGTTGCGCCAAACAAGTGCAGCTCGATTTCTTTGACATCTCAACCGAGCTCGTATTATTCGTAGCCTCGCGTTTTAAATTCCAGTAAATACGGCGAAGTGAAAAACACTTCGGTGAAGAATACAACGGAGAAGGGCGTGAAATTCAATTTTATCTTTTTTTTTTTTTTTTTTAATCGCATCAAAGAATCTAATTTTTCAATTTTTGTGATCGCTGAATTTCTTTCTCTTTTTTCTTTAATCGACAATTTTACTCGCGTGGTAGTTGTTGCATGTTATTGCAGATCGACTGTTCACGTAACGGAGCGTTAAATCGAGATGTGATTGCTCGAGCAAGCGCCATTAGTGTAACGCAGCACTTGACACGTGCATACATATTCGCTACCGCGGACCTTTATGTTTCTTCAGGGCGACCGCAACCACGAGTGACATGGTGGCACGAGAATGCTTTGCTCGACGACAGTTACGAGACCGTCGGCGCTAAAAGGGTTCGCAATGTGCTGCGATTGGAAAAGTTAGGCCGCGAGCATTTGCATGCGGTTCTGACCTGTCAAGCCTCGAACAACAATATGGTGGCGCCAATATCGAGTTCGGTGTCGCTCGATATGAAGTGTAAGCACTTGATAAAACATCTCATCGAAATTACGATCGATTTCGAAAAGTTTTTCATATTCTCACTTGATATAAGTTTTTTTTTCTAAATATATTTCGTTTTAATCACGTTTTTTGCGTGTCTAATAAGATGTTTTCACAAGAGTTCGAATGTGACATATATATATATATCACACGATCACGTTTAAAAAGTGTTTAAAATCGATCGAGTTGACTACAAACCTCGCCTTGAGAAACGAATCGGTGTGAATTCAGTTCTTACTAGAGAAATTTCTATTGGCTTTCGCGCGATTGGTGCGCGCACCAGATCGATGGGATGCTTAAATCCGAATGCGACATACTCTTTTACAGTAAAACCGCTCTGGGTTCGGATTCGAGGAGAAAACCGTCCATTTAGCGCCGGCAAGCCCTACGAGATAGTTTGCGAGGTTGTCGGAGCCAGGCCGAGACCGAGGATCATATGGTCCAAAGGGAACACGATACTGCGAAATGCGCGGGAGATGGTACGATTTAAAATAGATTATTGGCGATTTAATACTCTTTCCATAGATCGCGCGAGGCAACACTTGTCCCGAGAAGGTTCTCGACATTTCTGCGGTTATTGTTTCACGTATTTCCTCTCGAAAGAAGGAAAAAGATGCCATTTTCTGACGGTGTCATTTGTTTGCCATCAAAAAATGAGAGACCCCACCTCTTCTTTCTCTTTATTTATAATAATTTTTATTGCAGTTTAATAAAATATGATTTCTTAAACTCTATTTTACTCATAAAGTAAAATTAATAAAAACCGATTCTAAGTAGCAAATAAATACGTAATTGATTAAATCTCTTTCTTGTAATAAAAACTAACAATTTTTTTTTTCTTGGCCTTTTTTTATCCACAAGAAACATCTGTCTCTTCTTCATACAAGAACGTTTACCATTCCATTCGAGTGGCAACTCTTTTAAAAGTGCTACGTCCAAACGTGCTATCGTAAATCTAATCGGCTACTCTTGCGCGGGTGACATTATCAGTGCCATTTCCGAGCGAGCTTTAATTCAATTTCCCCGCGATAACGATTCGGTCCCTCGCTCGCGGTGTGCATCGCGATTATTAAATTGTTGTTCGGTAAACTGTTTTAAATTCATGAAAATCTCCTCGGCGAGCAGACGAGCCGCGACGACGATAACACAACAACCAGCACCCTCACATTTGAGCCGAGTATCGAAGACGCCGGAAAGTTCCTCTACTGTCGCGCCAGCGTGCCAGATATTCCGGACTCGGAGAAGGAGGACGCATGGCAGCTCAATATATATCGTGAGTGTTTTCACAGAAACGCAACGGGGTGTCCCGCAATTTTATACGTCGTCTATATACGACGGCGACCGCCGTCGTACGTCGGCAGAAACTTCCATCAATGTAATATTTTTGCGAGCGCATATAGCGCATGCATATCGCGTACGCGCTATGTGCGCGCGCGCGCGCGCGTGTGTGTGTGCGCGCGGCAAAAGTCAATATTAAAATTTCAATCGAGAATTTACTTCTCCAAACTATTCTTCGAATTTCGCTGCTATTGGCGAAATCGTTCATGTAAAATGCAATAATATTTATCGTCGAGATCACACACGCGCACGCACACATAAATCGATCGTTCTCTGTTATATAGTCATACCGTGTTATTTTAATCTTAAAAAAACGGCTAAAGCTTTGACTGAAGTAGTAGATTTTTCAACGTGTCTTCTTTTAACGCAAGTTTTCTGCAAAGTCACTTCCTGCAGTTGTGCCAAATATTCCAGCTCTTAGTTTGTCGACGCTCGATTTGAATAAATGTTTGCAATCTCGATCGTTTTTCGTGTTCTCGGATTAATTCTTGTATTTTTTTATTATTATTATTATTTTTTTTTTTAATTACTTAGAGCGAGACTACTGCCGTAGATTCAACAGTCGTGAACATCGCGTTGCGTCTGCGTAGTTCAAATTGCACCCTGGGTGCAACTTTCCTGGCGGCATTAATACGTAAAGTTGCAGAACGAATCGCCGCGAAGCGTCGCGGCCGGGGATTAACGTCCGTGATTTCACTGTCCAATATAAAAGTTTTCCGTGCCCGCGGTCCGATCAAAAAACGAGAGAGAAGAAAAGAGGGAAAAGGGAGAGAAAGCTTTCCGCGTGGAAATTAATGGCACATGCCGATCCCGAAGATTCAGCCCGATTTTGCAATCGCGTTTCCACCACTTTGACTATTCTGGCAGCCTCATTTTCTCGTCTTATTCGCGGATTTCTTTTTTTCTCTCCCATTAGTTCTTCGCATTCGGCCGCGGTAATTCCCGCGGCCGTCGGGCGGGGCTTGAAAACGCGGACGTGGAAATTTACTCGTTTATCGCGCGCCGCCGCAATCGCAGAGCGCGAGACGCGCGGGATTATCGGGAAATCGCGAAAGGAATCGCAAAGTAATCGTTCGATACGATTTTTTTTTTTTTTTTTTCGCGCGCGCTCAAAGATAATACCGCGAAACGGACGGCGGTATACGACGACGCGTCCTCTCAGTGGGAAAATGCGCCGCCGGTGTGTTCGACGCGGTTGACCATTTATTTACGGCGATGTGCCGATAACTGATGGCGCGCGTTGTAAATCGTATTGTCCGAGCGCTATTAAATATTTTTGATATACAACGGTTGCGCGATCAATAAACCGACTACACCGTTAGTAAATGACTCTGACGCGTTTCGCGATTAGATAGAAATATTTTCTTCAAATTCGGCAAAACTGAGGAAGTGAAGAAAACTGGAAATGTACAAATTCTACAAAGAAAAAAAAAAGAAATTTCGTCTTCTTTTTTTTTTTTTTTGTTCAAACACTTTTATTTTCCGAGATTATTTTTTTCAGCGTTCAGACGTTAATCACCGCGATGAAAGGCGTCGTTTGTGACACATCGGCACATTTCGCGGCACACGGACTTTGATGTCGATTCTGTTTTCAGACGCGCCTGTGGTTACCCTCGAGCTTGGCAGCAATTTGAATTCGAGCGCTATTCGGGAGGGTATCGACGTTTACTTCGAGTGCAACATCAAGTCCAATCCCTGGGTTTACAAGGTTTCCTGGCGCCATAACGTGAGTCCACATTCCGCCGTCTCTTGTGTGCAGCAACGCACACAAGAGGCGCAGATAACGAATCTGGTTCAGAAATCGATAATATAAGCCGACGAAGCTTAATCGCGTCGAGATAAGGGGGTGAAACGGCAGCCGCGCACCTGCGACACACAAACTTCCCGTCCGAAAACTCGCGCGTTTGATCTCGGATTCGTATCGGCAAGAGAAGAGGACGCTACGCGGAGAGCATATAAAGCAGACTCTCCTCACTGACTAGTAATTAACCTTTGGAGAATTCGGCTCTTCGGAAATTTTCTCACGAATATTATGTTCCAAAAACGAAGAGAAGGCTTCGTAAAATGTTTTTTCAATTTTTTTTCGCCTCAAATATCATAAGCTTCGCGAAACAAAAAACGCGCAAGGTTATTTCGTTACAAAGTTACGTATCTTGCATACAGAGTTATTTTTTTTTTTTTTATCTCTTTTTGATAAAATATTTAATTTCTATTCAATGACAACGGGTGTAATGTGCGCAATGTTCTTTCTTCGCTGCTAGAATGCGCGCCGCGACGATCGATAAAAATCAGTCAGCTCGAGGGATTGAGCTGTACTGACGTAAATCCGCAGCGTTTTATTGACGATTAATAAGAATGCGATTTATCAATGTCCGGGCGCATGTTTTAATCCCGTCGTCGAGCTGCCTTTTTATCTTTATCGATGATAAACTCACGCGCGATTGATTTTCAACTGATACCAGTAGGTATTAATCATTGACATAAAAGCGGAATATATTCGCTCTATCGCAATTAAACGAGCAATTGCATTTAAATATTGCATGTACAAATATATATATATATTCACAAATACAATAAATACCGGACTCTGTTTTTAATCCTTTCTAAAATGAAATATGTATATTTTATTTTGTTGTTAATATATACACGCACTTTGCAAAACAAAACAGATCTACGGAACGTCGTTCGATATTAATATTGTATGTATCTACGTATCAAAATCCACTTTAATCTACTTGCATATTTTTTTTTTCACCGAAATATTTAATTTTCAAACTTAAATCAAGAAACAATGTGCAAGGATTCGAATTTCTGTTTCGCTTACAATTTTTCCCACTTATCTCCGCCAAATATATATCACCGATAAGCCGAAGATAGAAAGTTTCCATTCCGAAAGATATGTGTTGCAATATTAAAGTTATTGCGATGTTCTCTGAACTTTGATATCCGTTCGAGCCAATTTTATGGCTCTTATCGTGAACGAATGTCGTATACGTGGAAACAGCAGGAAACGCAAATCCCAATCAATTCCCTCGATTCGAAGACTCCAAATTTGTTTCGCGAAAACTGAAAGCCGCTTTCGCAGTCTCACAAGTCGCGCGCGCACGTGTGTGCGACGGGAAAATGCGAGAGATCGAAAAACTGTCAGCGCACCTCGTACCGAATTTCTCACACGGGATTTCTTATCGCTTAGTCTGTACGCGACCAAAAAAAAAAAAAACAAAACAAAATACGAAGTCAATATATTTGCGTTTGTGTTTTTGCGGCATTAATATCTCGCGTAAGAAGCGTGCGTAACATGCTGTCCGTGTTTCCCACCAGAAAAACCGTGTGTAAATAATCACAATCCATTTTCTCAATATTGATCACGTGACTAAATATGTATATATATATTATATATATTAATTTATTATATATTTATAATATTATCTTATATTGTATTATATGTAGTATATATATCCTACGGTGAGGTCACTGGCCTTGGTACGGTATATATATACCGTAATCAGTGACCCCGCCACGGTCGCGCGGCCGAGGTCAGTGATCCCGTCGTGGTCGCGCGACCGAGGTCATTGACCCCGCCGCGGTCGCGCGACCGAGGTCATTGACCCCGCCGCGGTCGCGCGGCCGAGGTCAGTGACCCCGCCGCGGTCAATATTTTGATTTTCATGCGTTATTTCTGACATCTCTCTAATGTATTATATGGTTTGTAAGATGTATATACTAGCTGTCATTGCGGTGACAGGTTATCTTCACACTACACATTAAAATAAAAACAATAAGTTAAATAACGTAGCGCGTATCTGTGTTGTGCAAGTCATATAAAAACTTGTATTTATTTTGCGCATTATCGTTGTTAATTCTATTTAGTAACTTTTAACGAAACAATTCTCATTGTTCTTTGAAAAACAATCTTTCCAGTTTTTCTATTCTTCTACGTAATTGTTAAAAAATCTAAGTGTTAAAAAAAAAAAACAGTTTTGTTTAACTGAACTCCGTCTCGTAAGATTAAATAGTCCAATAGTTGATACACAGGGAGAATCGTATGTTCAGTGAATTAGCTTTCTACGTTAAGCTACGAGTAAACACGGCGTCGTTTGATTTCGCATTCGCAGGGCAATCCTCTGTATCACAATCCCGCGACCGGAACGATAATAAGTAATCAGAGTCTGGTGCTGCAAAGCGTCACTCGCAGCAGAGCTGGGATTTACACGTGCATCGGCAATAATCAGGAGGGCGACGGCGAGAGTAATCAACTGAACTTGGACATAAAGTGTGAGTATCCGTTACACACATTTCTCCCTCCCGCATGTCATCTGCCATCCATAATTTGCCGTGGCGCTCTAATTAAGTTAAACCATTCTCTCAGTCCGTTATTCGCGTGCCATTCTCCACATCGGATGTGTGTGTGTGTGTGTGTGTGTGTCCGAGCTTACTTTCTCTGAAACGAGAGAGCTAGGGAGAGAAAGAATCAAGAGAGAGTGTCTCTTGTTTTTGTGAGAAAAATGATGAGAAAAATATGATCTGAAAAATAATATCCGATTATTATTTTACAAATATTTGAATCAAAACAGACTATCCGATTATTTCAATTGAGATCCTTTCGGTACATTCTTTGATTACTTTGGCGTACACTTTTCTACGTGTTTGTTTTTTTAAAAATGATAAAAATTTTTCACTTTCTTCGAAAATCCAAAGTTGCAGGAAGATAATACATCACGTGTTTTTCAAATCTCATATAAAGTACGCGTAACTAACACTTCGAAGTTCGAGCACGGAATTTCTCATTACTGCCTCTCTATCGCTTGAAGAATGACGATTATGCAGTTTCAGAACGGGAGAGAAATTGCAACCAATGTTGTCTTCCGAATCTCTCCGGAGTCTCTCTCTCTCTCTCTCTCTCTCTCTCTGGACTCGGCAGAGTTAATTTCTGTGTCAGCGAGTTCACCGCACTTTCTCACGGCACATAACTGATACCGACACACCGAGGCGCGCGCGCGCAGTTCGACGTTAAATCAGCTTAGGAGCGCTTTGTTTACGAGGAAACATAAATCGGGAGAAGCGTAAGAGGGAAAACGTTCTTCTCCTCCTATTGGCGCAAGATCCCGTGTCGAAGTTTAATATCTGTCGCGCACTATAAAAGAAAACAAGGTTTCATAAAGTAGGCTGAGAAAGAACCCGACTGATGAAAGGAAGAGATGAATAGAGAGAGAGAGAGAGAGAGAGAGAGAGAAAAGAAGAAAGATCCCTATCCTAAGTCAATTTTGTATGCGCGCGTTAACTTAAACGCCGAATAAGTTTTGACAGCTCTTTCGGAGTGTTGTAAAAAAAAGAAAAGCTCGCAAAAGCTCGATATTACTTGCGAGCGCGCTCGTTACGAGTTATAAAACTTGAGATAAACCGCGAGAAAGTACGAGAATGGCGAAAGTTGTGATATTTGATTAATTGACAGATATTTTTTTTTTTTTTTTTTATCAGGCAAACGACGAGAGCGACATCGCGCGAGTGTGCGATTACACACAAATACGCGAGTAACAAGCAGAGCGATACTAATATTTTTATCAACCCGAAATATTTAATTCAGAACTTCTCGTTTTCTTTCCCCATCCATCTTGAGGATCTCGCATACACGCTCGGCAAACACGCGCCGTCGAAAATAATTTCGTAAACGATAAGTTTATAAATCATTCACGAATACAATATATCTTGTTCGCCAACGAAATGACGTAAAACCTCTCTTCTCTCTCGCGCGCGCGCACACACGCGAGCTATAACAGGAAATATCGCCCTCGCCGTGCGCAATTCGCTAGTATGAATTTATTATAGTAATGTATGCGTTTGCTCTCCTTTTTGCACCTCGTGAGTAAAATGTCTTTCGGCGTGTGCAGTTCAGCGGCCACTAAATCACTCCGAACGCTTTACACACGTAGGAACATATGCGCGTTACGCGCACACCCGAACAGCTTCTCTCTTGCCTTACAAGTGTGTATATATGTGTGTGTGTGCGTGTGTCTGTGACTTACGACTGACTGACACACGCCAACTGTTTGCTCGGCAGCTGCGCTCATCAGTATTTAGAGTTGGCTTTAACGCACATGAATTATCTAGAGATTAATTCGCGCGCGGATTAATAGAGTTGATCGGTTAAAATATATCTCCGTCCGCGCGCGCGCGCGCTTAACATCGGGATTGAAAACCAAATCCCGTCAAAATAACGAACTTCGACGAAGTGCAATCCGTTTGCAAGAAATAAGTTTTATTTAAATAAGAAAACAAATTAAACGCACAATATTATCTTTGAAGCTGAAAGCTTTTTTGTAAGTTTATATAAAATATTCAAGAAATTTAATATAATAACGAATAAAATGTTTTTTCAAACATCCGTCAGATTGACGGATGTGAAGCAAAACTATGCATACGTTCAACTCTGTGTGGTTGTTCTAGTTTCAATCACATTTCGCGTGTGTTATTTTAATCATATGCGATATTTACTTGCGCGGAATATTAATAAATGCATGTATGCGCGAGAGAGCAAGATTTTACCGAAGATATTTCAGACGCGTCGTCGTTTAATAGAGAGAGGGAGAGAGAGAGAGAGACGATTACTTTAAAAAGAAATTAGAAAACATCGCTGAAAATATGCATATCGTTCCGGTTATTAAAAAAAAAAACAACAAAATCTGTTTCAAGAGTTTGCGAGAAAAAAAGATAAGTTTTATTTTTGTTTAATATTTTGTGCGAAATGAGCTTCGTGTGCTTCGTCGTCGTCGTCGTCGAACATAACACGCGATACAAGAGAGAACGCGCGCGAATATGAAAAGACCAAGTGATTACGGAACCATTTCGAAATGACAATGGAAAAGCCGGAGCATTATTAGCAGACTTTTTATGATTCCTCGTCGCTTTGTGAAGTATATCAGCGCGAATCTCTTTACACATTTATCTCAGCCGAAAGCTGTAACTAAAATTGTCGTGACGTTCCGCTAATCTTTCCCTGTGTTCATTTTCTAAAACCGGGGAGTATTACATATTAAAGCAGACTTTGCTTTTACACAAAGTATATACATGCACACACACACACACACATACACACCGTAAAACTGTCGCGCGTCATCAAATCGCATTCGGGAATATTTCGCCGTGGATTTGACGTGTGCGCGTTTTCTTTAGAGCTCCGACGGAATTTCCGTGTAATTATACTCGCGATTATATCGGTTTTAATAACCCTTTCGGCAAGGTAAACGGTCGAGTATCTCTCCAGCGTCGAATGTTCCTCGTATAATCCGTATTTTCTTTGTTCCTCCTCCTCCTCCCTTTCCCGTCCCGTCCGGCAGCAGCGAGCCCTTCGCTATTTTACAGCTAACTAAGCGGCTTAAGATCTTGGATACGGCAGAGCCACGAAGAAGAAGAAGGAGCTTCTTGCCCGCGCGCGCATAATTATGCGCGATGAAACTGAATTAAAATCCTAAGCCACGTTACCCCGTTCGCGCGCACGGAATCCGTAGATTTTCGCAAGGCGAAATTTATGTCCGTCGCGCGCTTGTTAAAACCCCGAGCGACGTGAATCTCCGCGCGATTTTTCGCGCGTCGTATTTGCGCTACGGATTTTATGTTCGATTTTTTTTCTTTTTAGAAGAGAACAAGAGCACACTTCTCTGAAAAGAGACGAGGTGTTTTAACTTCTCATTAAGATTAACTTCATAGGCTCTTAATGTTATCGCGAGAAGACTGCTGTTACGTGGAGCGATTGAAAATTTATAATTTTATGATAAATTGATAAATTTGAGCGCGACTTAAGGAGATATAACGCGAGATATTTTTGCAAGAAAGAATCGTCGAGAAAATATGCTTGGTATTCGCTGACGTGCGAAACCTTCTGAAGGCGCTGAACACACGCTTTAAGAATTCATGAACCCGCAATGCGTCTCCTCGTCCGACGTGATCACGTCTAATGTGTCTCAAAGTATCTCGTCGTAAAAACGAACCGACGCCGACACTCGTACAAGCCCCCGTCGGGGCTCTTGTGAGTTTGCTCGTAATTGCGTTTTGCATCAAGAGAAGCGCGCATTAAATTACAAGACGAGCATCGCCGTAACAATCTGTAATTTAATGCGCCGAGCCTAAAAATTCCTGCCATTCGGCCTCTCGTCGAAGTTAACGTCAGACTTAATCGGAGGGTTTTAAACTGGAGCATTGCAATTAAATGCGATGATAGTAATTAGCCAGAAGCGAGTGCTCGACAACTTGCACAGCTCGTGTATATATACGCGGGTTTGTATTATTCTCTCTCTAGACCAGTCTCGAAATAAAACAAAAAAAAAGCAGAAAGAGAGAAAGAGAGAGAGAGCAGAAGAAAGAATACGTACGCGTCCCACAACATTTGCAGCGGAATATAATGCGCGGTACATCATAATACGCGGTATTAACAAAATTTTGCATGACGGCGCAAAAATATGTAGCGAGACAAAATCCGCGCGCGCTCTATTCCTCATCTCGCAACTACGAAGAAGTGTCTTTAGTTTGAATATATCCGAGAAAAATGAAAATAACTCCGGTTTTGTCTAGCACCAGACTAAATACATGTTTCATGTCATTTAAAAATCCTTCGTTTTATTCGAATATATATGAAATATACGCAATTTTTAAATATTTAAAATTACTTTTAAATATATATGTAACACGTGAAATAATTAAACTCGATTTTAATTATCATATATCGCACATTGAAAGGTCATGTTAAAACATTTTGCGAATTTACGAACTGACTTATTCCTCTCAAGTTGTACGTCGTGAACGCGGAAAAAAAAGTTTTGCTATTGCATGACCGGCAAGAAAAATTGTTGAATTTCTTGTTTTTTTGTCAACAAAACGTTCATGTAGTAAGTTGATCTTCTTGTTATTCTAGTAAATCTGTTTTTTCTTTTTGTGATATCAGAACGGTCAGGCCGCAACATCGCCGTCTCCCATCGACGCCAAGTGTTTGCAAGAAAACAGCTCGAATTACCATAATACTTTGTATTGGATTATCATAATGTTTCTTGCGACATACGCGAGACGGGCATGCAAAATTTCTTTGAACAACCTCGTTTCCGCGCGCGCGCGGTTTCTCTCAAAGCAAACGCGGCGTAAACACGCGATCCTTTAGCCGTCGTTGAGTAATCCAGGTCGCTCAAATAGAAATTGCTGCGCGATTAATGCTTAATTACGTGCCGCAGTTTCGCGCGGTGTGTCGCGTACGTACTTTTATCGCACGGGACAGATTCGCATGCGAGATC